AAAAATAAAAGCCTGAATCAGAATTTTCACCAGTTGGACACCATTATGTTGTTATCATCATCTACAAATAAAATACTCTAAATAAGTGAGATCCAATGGAATCACTTGTGACTACTTTCAAGATGCATCTTTCGGTAATCTTTTTTTTTCTTTTTCCTTATTTTATCATTTATGCATTGCCTACCGATCTACCCTTTTCAAAACAGAGAGGGGTAGGCTCAAGGATACATATCATGATGATATAGTTGCCCCAGTTTTAAAGGTAAATGCTTTCAACTTGTGTTTTATTGTTTATTTGAAAAATCTTGTACAACTTTTACATTGTTTTGTTGTAATTTCTAGGCATTGATAGAAAAAGAAATATTAATTCAGTTGAAGTTCGAGACACTGTTGTTGGATCAGTATTGGGACCAGCCTCCCAAAGAGCAAGTGAATTCAGGATTTCATTCCATGTTTTGTTTCCAAACAGATAGAATTCAATTTTGTCATGTTCTTTTAAACTCCATGTTTGATGATAATAGAAGGAATCAATTCCATTTTTCTTTATTAAAAGACCAAAATACCCTCGTACTCTAATAATTCCTTTTACATGATTGTCTGAATATAATGACTTACCTGTTTTTTATTTTCAGAAACTGTGCCAATTAGGACCATCAACAGACAATGTTCCTCAGGTCTTCATGCAGTAGCTATTAAAGCTGGATTCTATGAGATCCGTGAATATCTTTTTTCAATTATTTTTTATTATACTTATATTACGCCATTTTTCTGGTTTGTTTATGAATTAATTTTATATATAAATACGTATTAATGTTGGGCTTGAATCTATGACCACCAATCCTATGGCTTGGGAAGGATCTGTTAATCCAAAAGTATGACATTTTTTCTCCCTCTTTGTTAATAATAAATAATGATCAAAAAAAAGTTTCCATTTTGGATTGTTTTGAACATCTATTGTGTTTTATTTGCAACCATGGCACAAGCCAAAGATTGTCTTCTTCCAATGGGAATCACATCAGAAAATGTAGTCCAACGCTTCAAAGGAACAAGATCAGGCTGCAGTGAGTTAAGTTAATTTATTATGTTTTTTTTCTTTTAATTAAAGTTTTCTTTTAATTTATTTATTTATTTGATAATGAGTAGGTCGAGTCCCATAGAAAGGCTGCTGGTGGAAAATTCAAGGACGAGATCATTCCGATTCCAACCAAAGTGAAAAATGAGAAAATGAAGACGTCTTCCACTATTACACTTTTTGTATTTCCTTTTTCTTTTTCTTTTTTTCTAACTAAAATGTTTTATTTGGAGAAAAGATGGTTAACCTGAAAACAAGAGATGAGACACCTGTTACAATTTATGTTGATGATGGGATCCGTTCAGTCTAGATTTCCCACATGTAGGAACAACATTTTATAAACAAGACCAAAATAAAGATCACACATTGCAGGGTCACTCATCTAGTAGGTAAATAAAATAAGCGGGGTCACTCATCTAGTAGGTAAATACAATAAGTTTATGATAAAACTATTTGGCTTGGATATATTATAGATACATGATAATCCATCCTCTCATCCCATCATCTGTAACAAAACAATAAATTACAATAAGATAATTTTATTCAAACATAGAAAATGTAGTAAGATGTAATAAAAATACAATAGCATAATTAAATAAAATTCTTGTGTGTGTGTGTATATATATATATATATATATATATATATATATATATATATAATATATATATATAATATATATATATATATATAATATATATATATATATAGACACACACACACACTAGTTACGTACGCACGCAAAACCGCGGCGGTGAATAGTCTCTTTCAATAATTAATTCCATTAAGAAACATGTTATCTTTCAATAAACACAAAGCATATACATATTGTTATCAGTCGGTTTATGACAATTAAATGAAGAGAAATAAGGGGCCATTTGATCCAACAAATTGTTAAACATGCAATTGACTTCCGCTAATCATAATTTCTCATCGCCTGCTAGCTCGTATTGTATTATGTAATATATTTTATAGAATTTGCATTAATTTGGTGATTATAAACAGAATGACCACAACCATGCCACTATTCTTGTAAATAATAATAATAATAATAATAATAATAATAATAATAATAATAATTCTACCATAATAACACAGACCATCTAAACTATCATTTAATCATCCCAAAAAACACTTAATCTAACATAAATCCATGCAATTAGCCAATAATCCTTTGGAAACATGTATATCTACCCACATCAAAATCTCAATCCCTTTCTACGACTCTTTCACATGATATTCGTTGGGAGTGGGGTAACATTTTTTGTGACTATAAAAATGGATTCATCAAAAGGGATTGAGTTATAGTACATTTCTATTATAAAAAAAAAAATATGATGTTATAAAAGTCATGAAATAGTAAAAAGAAAAACAACTGTCAAAATACATTGAAAAAACTGCTCAAAATGTAGGATGCTATAAAACGTCATCATTTTTTTTCCAAAAATTGTTCGAAAACTCACCATTTGAAAAACTAACCTCCATGTTTTTTAACAATTCCAAAGAATCTCTTGTTAATAGTTTACCCACCTGAAATGAAATTTAACTGAGAATGTTACAAATATCTGGTGTTTAATATTACTTCTCATGTCTACCTTGAGGTTTAGGTCCTTTAACAGCTTTGGTGTCGAGCAACCATCCTTGAGACCAAATCCATATACATTAAAAGCTTGCAAGTATAAGGTAAAAAAAAAAAAAAAAAAAAAAAAAAAAAAAAAAAAAAAAATTAAGTAGTTACTGAAATTGGCATCCTTATGTCATGAAAAGCAGCTTTTAATACGTCATAAATATCATCAAGACATGCTCATTTTTCGTGCAAAGTTTTTAATACGTCATAAATACAAGAGAAATACAGCCAAAATCACACCCAAAGAATCAAGTGGTAGCCTTGTTACCAAATAATCAAGATCTGTTAAAAAAATGTTTAGTTCAATATGAACATATCAAAAATCAAAATTACAATGCATAACCAAACATCCTGTGAAGAGGAAAATGTGTTGTCTGAAATATTATTAATAACGTTACAGCCGGCAGTGAACTTTTACCTCTATAAAGAATATGTAAACATACATTATATGAATCGTCTTAAACTAACATGGACTAAAGTGAATTTTTTAGAAACATTTTATGTTGTAAGGTGAGGACCCCAAGAAAAGTGATGAATTAAGAACATTATCAATACTCAATCAAAAAGGTTAAAAACCACCTTGTTTAACCAACTTGTAAGATATGAAAGTTATTTTGAAAATGATGTAATCTATTCATTTTATGCATATGTGTATTTTTGTTTAACCATATGTTGTGATTATAAAAAAAGACAGTAACTCCATAAAACTTAGTTTCAAACAAAAAAAAAAAAAAACACACACTTAAAACAAACACACTAACTTTGTACAATACTCACCTGATGTAAAACTTCTTCAGTGCCTTAATCATCTTTCACGACATGATGCTACTATAGTCGAAATAGACCAGAAGCTCTTTGTGTAGGCCAATCTATTTTATGGAACTATAAGATTTATGTAAAGGAACAAAAATGTTCATCAATTTACCAATTATATTAGGAAAAACAAAGTACAATTATGCACAAGTAACTTTTGTAAGAACAAACCTGAGTAGAGTTTTCACTTGAATGTTTTGTTACATGCTCTCAATATAAAAAGTACATTACCGAGAAACGTTTCTGGAATAATGGCCCATCAAAAAACTGGGGAATCGAGTAGAGACAATATAAATCGTATAAAGGAATCGGTAGACATATGATCATTAAGAATTTTTAGTAACCACATAAGAAAATCTGAAACCAACATCAACCCTTCAGAAAAATAAAAAACTACATGTTAATTAAAATCAAGAATTAGGGAAAAATATGAAATAAAAACAAAATCAGAGGGAATGAGTCTATAAATGAAAAACAAGAATTGGGGAATGAGTCAATAATCAGAAAGATGAACCTGTATATCAAAAAAGAAAATTAACAAGAAAATCCAAACCTTTAGATGGAAAAAAATATACAAATAATATTGTTTCAAGGGTACCCCTGTGGCTGATGGCGACGAAGCTGTTGGCAGGTTGCAACTACAAAATCGAACCTATAAATCGAAAAGAAAAAATGGAAAAAACAATAAATCTAAATGAAATAGGCTGAAGTGTGACATCATCTACAAGGAAGCACAAAAAATATGGATTTAAGCACAAGATTAAACAGATTAAAAAGAGTACAAGTATTGAAAGAACTTTGCATACCAAGGCGTCACTTCAGATGGCCTCTCCACACCAATGGTGTAAAAAAAATGCAAACCTGGTTTCATCTTCTTTCCCAATAGTTTGAAGCTTAACCAAAAAACAATGGGTGTAAAAAACAAACAAAAAGGTTAAAAAAATCACAAAAACAAACGTCCCTAGAAATCAGAAAGAAAATTAAGAAAATAGTACAAAGGGTCGAGATTGAGGGGAAATAAGAAAGGAAACATATCGATTGATTGAATAGGGGAAGTGATTCGTACACAACAGTTTTTTACCATACACAACAATTTATACATTATATAGTTATACAATACAACATTTTAAAGCAGCAATTATTGGGTATGGAAAAAATTTATTGTGTACGGTATTTTGTTTTCAAATGCAAAAATAATAATGGAATTTTGGACTTCAAATGTTCCAAAGGGATTTTTTTTAAAAATAGAGTAAATTTTGAAGTACTTTTCCAACCAAAAAAAAAAAAAAAAAACCCTTGTAAAATTAAAATCTAACAAGAAATTGCAAAAAAAAAATAAGTAAATAAATAACAATTCCAAACCGAACATTTCCCTGCTAACCAAAACAGTAAATGTTAAGGTGGGTGATTAAGTATTTAATTTAGCAGCTAAAAGTCTAACTGGAAAATAAGCATCACATACAATACTGAATAATCAAAATAAAACCCCCCCTACAGTCACTTGACTTGACTAACACAACCACAACAAATTAAGAAAAAAAAAAAACAAAGCTTCTTCTTCTTCTTCTTCTTCTTTCCATGGAGCATTATATCATATATATCATGCTTGCTGAGATACAGAAGAAACACAAAGAGATGCAGCAGCCAAGTCATCAAAATTGCGTCTAGCCTGATCGATCCCTTGACGAATCCCATCCACCTCAGCTTCCAACACGCCAACCTGTGCATCCTTCTTCTCCTTCTTCTTCAACACCTGTACACGTTTCTCCAGCAGGGCCACCACCTGTTTATCCACCAACTCAATCTCCTTATCAATCCTCACCCCTTCAACTCTTTCCGCCTCCATTTTCTCTTTCACTTTCTTCGACTCTTCTTCCAGGCCTTCCTGCTTCTCTTTGATCCTCAGCAACCCCCTCAAGCGCTCTCTCACAGCCTTGACATCAAATCCATGGGATTCCAATTCCAGCAGCGCCTCCATGTTGTCATCATACGCGCTTCTTGGGCTCTCCAGTTTCATCTGTGAGGCGGCCTCCACCACCCGCAGGTAGTTCACCATTTTGCTGATGGCATGTCCTTCGCGCGTGCATTCCTTCTCCTTCTCCAGTGGACGGAAATGCGGCTTTTGTGGGATCATCCGGAACAGTTCCATTGATTCCAATGTCGCCCAAAGCGTGCTTCGTTTCTCAAACGACAGCTTTTCAATCTGTTTCTTCACCGATGCTGAAGGCTGCTGCTGCATCCCTTCAATCCACCTCGACAGTGGTTGATCATCCGAGATTGAGATTGACATCGACATTCTGTCTGCTGATTTCTCAACAACTACTTCTGAACCTGAACCCCCATTCTCCTTTGCTTTTTGTTTCGATGATGAATCTTTACCAACTGCTGTATGCACAAATCATCAACAATACTTTCCAACCACAACAACTTCCAAGTTACTATAATAATAACTAATGATAATCATTTACCTTGTGCTTGCGCTGGAGATACGATGTTTATGCTTTTTATTTTTCGTCGCTTGCCTCGTTTGCCTTTTACTGATTGATACTTCACACTTGTATTTGGCAGCTTTTCTGCATTATTCACTACTGGAGTGTTTCTCTGCTGCCCTGCATCTCCATTCGCATGGGTCACTGCAATTATGAAAGAAACAAATCAGGTATGTTCTAGTCGAGAGATATGTTTTGCTTAAAAACAACTTATTTATAATTATATTTATACCTACCTGCCAAGGGTGTCTTGGGTTGTGATTTGAATGGCCTTCCCCTCTTCCTCTTCAGACTCACGCCTCCATCCGCTGCCTTTTCCTCCTACATACATCATACATCATACATCATACATGGCAAAGGCAAACAATGTGTGTTTATATGAATATTGAATATTAACTAAATAAAAAACCAAAAACACAAATTTTGGATGTTGCACCTGACTGCCTGTTGTCTTGGGTGTCAATGGAACACCTGACTCCACAGTTTTCTTCACATTCTTGGTTTGTGAGATAGTCATGGCTTTACACTGCAAACCCATAACACATGTAATAGGAGGACCAAACTCTCTGGGAACATGCTCCTTCTCAACAATCTTCGGGGTCTGTATTTTCATCTCCCCTGCCAAACACTTATAACTTAGTATATTATATATAAAATAAACCTGAGATGAATACAAAATCCAAATTAAGATTTCTGCCATACCTTGGGGTAAAGCTTTCACACCTTTAGAATCAGCTGCTGCTGATCTCCCCTTCTTTCTTGCAGAAGTAATCACTGGACTGCTCGACTCAATATTCTTTTCTCGGTTAACAAGCTGGACATGTAGAAAATGCAATCTTTATCATCAACACCACTTAACAAGCTAAAAACTTTGCTTAATATGACAGATTCAACCCACCACTCTCTTTCCACGAGAAAGATTCTCAGTTGCAGTTGCAGTTGCAGTTGCAGTTGGGTTGTTTGCTTCTTTACTTCCTCCTCCCACATCTGATAGGGTTTGATCATCAAAAGTGATTCCAGGCTTTAACTTCTTAGAAGGCCTCAGATGTTTATCGTTGCTGCCAGCACTTGTCACCTTTGTTCTCTTCATCGTTGATGCTACAATGGAAGTTTGTTTGTCAATTGGACCCGTAACGTTTAACAAAACAGCTGATCTCTCTTCAGAGCTACGCTTCACAGAGCTTGATTCACCATGCTCAACATGCAGCCTTAATTCCAGGTGACTGACTTCTCTCTCCTTGTTTGTGTGTTTAAAATACACAATATACCTACTATCAGCAAGTTTTTTGGTGATTACACCAGTCCACCAGCCAAAATCATAAAAAGCATCTACCTTCTCTAACAAAACAAAATTCGTATCCTTAATCGGAGGGGTTGCGGGGCGAATGTGATGACGATCTACTGTGACTTTACGAAGATCTGCCTTGTCACACTGGTATTCAATAAGGAATCGATTGTTTCCCAATTCTTCAATTACAGTTGCAGGGAACCAAGCATCGCGTAGATCGTCTTCCTCAAACCAGATTTCCACCTTTTCGCCTACCCCAATGATCGATCTTGCTGTTCTCTTCCAGATTTTTTAACACAAAAGGAAATAAAATCAGAACGATTCAATCTAGCAAAAACAAACATGGAAGTTACAAGATTCTGATGCAGATATCACATTCAAATCATAAGAAAACAAACATAGAAAACTAGGGCAAATTAAAATCATGGCAAGAGTTTCCAATTGGGTCGATGAACAAGCATAGATCCTCAATTGGGGTAATCACTCACCCATTGTATGAAGGCTGAGACAAACGGATTAGAAGATATAACATAAACTCAAAACAGATCACCTAAGTTTTTACAACAAAGTGCAGCATACATACAGATACGCCCCCATCGTTCATTGTACCTAGATGCATGTGTACTTACTTGTCTAAGGTAGAAGACAACGTCCACAAAATCCCCTAATTTCAATTAAGAAATTTAAAACCCTAGAACTAATAGAGACAGCATGAGTGTGTAAAAATGAGCAAGCAAGACTTATAAAAAAAAGGTAGAAATGAGCAAGCAGGCTTAAAAAAAAGGTAAAGCGAAACCTGCTCCTCGGGTCGGATCCATTTGCCATCAACCCATTTTCGCTTGACCCGAATTCAAAATTGAATTCCGTCCGGAGAGTTCTGGAAGGTGATGGCCAGTGTTCTACAGCTCCTGCGATGACGCCGGTCCACCACCTGTCTCGCTAAATAGAATCAATAACGTCGTTCAGCTCCAAATGCAAAACGGAACTGTCACTGGCAGAACGATGCGACTGCAACGACAATAAACGGGCGCCTGTTCTCTCAAACAATTATGGTACTCGATATACAGAATAAATTGATGAAGTTGGGAGGGGGTACTCTCGCCGGAAATCAGCGTTTTTGGAAATGGAAAGAGGACCGTGGAAACCTTTTTCGTGGGAGTTGAATTCGATCGGAGACCTTTTTGTTAAGAACGAGGGCCTAGTGTTTTTCCCATCCTCGCAGTACTTTTGACAGGCATTTTATCCAAAAACCCTAACGTGTTTCTAGTCCCAATTGCCCATTTTTCTCCATTTTCTTTAAAAACAACGGACCCTTTAAATGAGATTATTCGTTTGTGAAGATTTTGGTATATTTTGTGATTTAGTATGTTCAAATCAATTCAAAGTCACGTCTATATCTTATGTACTTTATATAAGTTATAATATCTACTTTAATGATTAAAGATCTTAGTTTGAATCAACATGAACTCAAGGGATATGGTAGATTGAAACAGACGTTTAGGTGGTAATCGGTAGCTGATGATGACAGTAAGCGGTGTCGGCGATTTTTCTTCCAAATTTTCTTTCAAACCTATATTGACCGACGAAAGATAGAATAAAATTGTGATGGTCGGTGGAATGTCTCTCTGGTAAAAACAGATTTGAAGAAAACGATAGTGAATAAAATGGTGATGGTTGGTGGAATGCATCTATGGTTAAAACAGATTTGAAGAAAACGATAGTGAACACAAATCGATGCGTGACTTGAAACTTCTGAGATTGGAACCCAAGTACCCAACTAAACCACTTAAGTCGTGGTTTGCAGTTCCTTTTTAATTTTAATTTTATATATAGCTATTCATTTGTGAAGATTGTAGTATATTTTGTGAATTATTATGTTCAAATCAATTCAAAAGTCATGTCTAATGATAGAATTTAATGAATATTATTTTATATAAGTTATAATGTATAGTATGATGATTAGAGATTTTAGTTCGAATCAACTAGTATATATATAGGATGACCTAAGAATTCAAAAATTGATAGGTGAACTTTGATGGTTTAGATTTAATGTAAAAAATGGTTAATTAATAAAAGACAAAGGGTCATTTATGAAAATATATGAAACTTTGTGTGGAAATGAAAATTTTTGAAAAATATTTGTGTAAACCTAAGCACACATGAGATGCCCATGAACCTTCTAATTTCTCTCGCCAACATATATCATAAGTCTATTGGTTGTGGTGATCTTTTTTCCACCTAATAAGTTTTTAGGTACTTTAAAAAAAAAACAAAAATTCTAAAAATACTAAAGTTATTAAAATTTAATTCTCTATAAAATAAATATAATCATGAATTTTTTTTTAAAAAAATCTAAAAATAACCTAGAAAAAAATTTCTACAAAAATTATAAAAATGTAAAAAAATATATTTCTACTCACTATTCTAATAATTTTGTAAGAATAATTTTTAAAATATAAAGTGTTTTATATAGCAAACTTTATTTTAAAAGATTAAAAGTTTTTTAATAGATATTGAATATAATATGATCAAAATAGGGATGATTCAAAATATTATTATTCAAAAATATTATAATTCAATATGTTTATGATCACTAGTGAGTCTCTGATAGTGTGTATGTATGTATCCAAAGAAGTGATAGTCCCATAATAAAGCTCAAAACAAAATTTGCCAAAAAAAAAATCATATGGGGCACACAGCCTCTATGGTTTCAGTGTAAATCCACGCGATGCATGTAAAGGGTAAAGTGTCTTGCTTTAATATGGAATTCCTCAAAAGTAAGTTACCAAAAATTGCATGTTTTCAAACCACACGACCTGTGTGAAGCCTTCAAGACTCCCATCCATATTCACTCACATGGCCCATGTGGAGTTCCAATGTAAATTCACACGGCTCATGTGTTCACTCCTGAGGTCTAACCAATCTTAAATTTTCTATTTTGTTCGTTTATTGCCCGAATGTTCTAAGATTTTGACTCAATCCTTCTTTCACCTTCCTTGATGGATTCTAGTCCTTAAACCACTTAAACTCAACATAAAAATTATGCATATCCCCGGATAATATGAAACCTCCCTACATTATGAATAAGATGTAATGTTCTAACATTAAATGTGATACATAAACGAGATAAGTGTGCAAAAGGTACACAAATTGCACTTAAAAATACGAATTGTCAACCCAAAATGTCACTTCCAAAATAATCGTTGCCAAATGAAATTCGTCTGAAATTTCTCTCTAAAAATAAATTTAACATCATAATACGAAATACTTTATGACACATCTTTAAAAAACATGATGCTATTATATGTATTAACTTTATTCCAAAACAAATTAGTTCAAACGCTTTCATCAGTTAAACAAATTATAAAAAAAAATAAGGTCCTTTTCTATATTCCACCAAAAACATTTGATAATTTTTTTAATATGCGTATATAAATTCGAATTTACTGTTTTTTTCTTTTCAAAATTATTATTATTACTAATGTCGGGGCGTTAATAACCATCAACACAACTGTTCGATCAATCTCCAAATTAAATCACAACCATTTAAAGTCCATATTTATGGTTTCTGGACAGTTTCCTCTTCCTCCTTCTTCCAAAGTTCAACCTTATTCCAAAGATAAGTATGTAGATGAAGCAACATGAACCCTCTACCACTATCCACATTCCAAAGATTAGTATGTAGATGCAGCAACATGAACCCTCTGCCATTATCCACATGGATTTCAAAAACCTACCCACGATCTCACTGTTTTCTAATAATCGTCTGATTTTCCTTGGTTCCCTGCACACCTTTGTCTTTAACTCTCTGACAACTCCGTCTTCTCCTCCTTCTCTGCTTCCATGATACTTCTTCTCTCCTTGAGTCCCACTTCCCCTGAAACTACTTTTCATAACATGTATATAACTTAAATAATTAATTCATTTGTTTCGTTTTCTCTTGCTTTTAGCATCGGAGCCAAATCCCCACAATCACCACCCTTTATTCAACCAGAACAAGCAGCTTAAAATCTAAATCCCACTTCGTCCCAGATTGTAGTGGAAGGGTTTCTCCCTTGGTATTTTAATATGGTGATTACTACAGAATCTGCGATCTTTTAGGTTTGTGCATATTAGAGTTGTCCAAATTCATGGGTCTCTACTCCTCATGTAAGTTTTAGACTTCATTTTTCTTTCTTTAGACAACATTTTGTTAACCTAAACCCCATCCCCCCTAAGAACTGCATTGTTATCTATTGTTGAATCATGGTAAATGACTCTCCCTTTCTTTTGACCCAAAAAAAAAAACAAAAAAACTTTTCAAATCATAGTCAAGATAGGTAGGAAGAATTGTCTATTCTTCCTAATGGATCCTAGCCACCCTCTATACAACAATGACCACAGTTTCATGGATCGTGGATATCTATTTGACAGTTTAATTTTGGATTCTAAAGTAGGCAGAAGTATTAAAGACTACTTTTTTCAGTTAACATGAAATACACAATTTCAAGCCATTAATTCCTCACGCTTTTGAGAAAACAAAAAAGTTTATGTTTCTTCCAGACAGCATGAGGTAAAACCCAGTCCAATTTGCTCATATTTTTTTCTAATTGAATATTATTTGACAATTTTACTTTGAAAACTCTCATCCGGCCCTGTACATGGCATTTTCAACATGTCATGATTCAGGAGTCCTTTCTCTTCAACTTTCATGGTACACTTGTGTGCTGGAAATAAATAAAGATTCATCATTCGAGATAATTAGGAAGAAATACCATATAAAGATCAAGTCGTGGGGCTAGGGACTTTATGCGCCATGTCATTCATGATCTAATATGTTGCTGGATTTTACAATTATTTTCTTCGGCGATTAGGTATGATTTTGACATGTTTACATTATCGTTATAATAAATAATGATTAATTTCACTTAAAGAAAACCTATATCCCTATTGGCTGTTTATTTTTGCAATGTATACTTTTGATTGCTAACCAAATTTGGTTTTTCTACTTATAAAGTTGAAATTCAAAGTTAGGAGAAAAATAGAGTAAATAAAGTTGAGCAATTTATCAAGTATTCTTCAAGTGTGAGGTTTTGTAACGCCAGTTTCCATGTATTCATATTGATTGGCCTTGCTTTGTATTAAGTTTGCATTTTGGTCTCAACACCAGGTGTAGGGAATGGAATGTTAGGCGTAAGTTTGTGGACGCCAAGCATTCTCATGCAGAGGACAAACTCTAATTTTTAGGGTTTGCACCTCATTTAAAGGCCATTATAGCCTCGAAACGTTTCTTATTTTCAGCCTTCGTCCCTTATAACCCTCATTTCGAAACCCTAAGTATGTGTGAGTGTTTTGAAGCCTTGGAGTAACATTTTGGTATCATTTTAGTGTTCTTGGTAGAGAAGGAAGATCTTTGGAGTGTTGGTGTTGCCCCTTAGCCTTTGGATCTGGACTCTTGGCATCTTGGAGCCTTGAAATGTTTTATTTTGAGCAACACTTTCACCACTTATGTTATGATAGTATCTAATATCATAGAAACTGTATGACTAGCTAATTTGACTCTAAGATACCTGAGTCTAAGCATTGCTACATACGATGATAGGTCATTAGAATATGACACATTGGTCAATTGTAGTAATCAAATTAACTTATCCTAAGTTTGTTAAGAAGAAGGAGTCTCTGATAAATAATGAGGTTGTGACACGAAGGTCATGATTGAAAGTCCAACGAGCAGGCGCAAGACCGAGCACCGCCTGCAGTCAAGGAGTCCAAGAGTTAGATACTCGTTCGAAGCGACATTGAAGTTACAGTTATTACCTAGGATGAAGAGATAACGTATGGAGTCATTATACAATCCTGTTTCGTTGATGATTTCGGGACGTAATCATCCTAAGGGGGAGATAATTGTAACGCCCGTAGATCCGGGCTAGTCAATTTAGAGGCAATAGGGGTCGAAAATAACTTTTCGACAAAATATTATTAAGAATAAATAATATCAACCAAGTTTTAGTATATGTTACAAGGTTTCCGTACATATAAACAGTGTCGAAATCCGAGTTATAACGAAGAAGTTATGGCCCGTCGAAGTTTTACGGCAAAACCGGCACGACACCGGGAGACGTAAATAGTGAATTTATGATAGAGCTTCTTTTAGCCTTAGTAATCTAAATGAAAGTCGTAGAATATGTTAACCTGAGAGTTTCCATAAAAAGAACGCCCAAATCTGACTTCTTATAAGAAAGTTATGATTTTTCGAAGTTTCGGCTTAGCGGTGTACATCCCGAAGTTCGAGTATTAGATCGAGAGGTTTTAGCCGACACAACCTAAACGAGAATCGAAGATCTCGCTATTAGTAGCATAACGATAAAAAGACATACGAAAATGGACATCGGATAAAGAAGTTATGAGATTTTAACGGACCAATCCTGTCCCGGCCTGTTAAAAATATAACTTTAAAAATAAAGTCAAAATTAGCCGATGGAGTCTAAACGAAAGTTGTAGAGTACGTCTCCATCTACGCGTGGATATAAATAACGTCAAAAACGGAGTTCGTATGAACGAGTTACAAATTATAATAGCATATTTACGTATTAAAATAAAGTATAAATCATATATAAACAACTACCCGAATTCCTATCCGATAAAGATCCAGCCTTGGTGCCTTAGACCCTGTCGATATATTGAGGATAATTCACCTACAACTGTCGACTTGAAGAAATAAGCTCACGTTGCTCCAACCAACAGTACGAACTCCACCACTAAGCATTACCAATAAACACCAATAATTACCAAAATACCCTTGGAAGTCAAACTGGTAAACCCTTGGTCCAAGTCAAAGTCCTCAGTCAAAGTCAACCTTCCTGGTTGACCCTACTCGCCGAGTCAACCCGTTGACTCATCGAGTTCCTATGCTCAGAAACTCCCATGCCACGACTCAACTCGTCGAGTCTCCCCAAGACTCGTCGAGTCCAACAAGCTTTGAGTCCCTTACTGCTCAACTCATTGAGTCATCCATCGACTCACCGATTCACAGCTTAACCAGAAAAGGTTAGGATTCCACGACCAAACTCGTCGAGTCCAAGCACATACTCGCCGAGTCCAAGGCAATCTTCAATAGACTCGCCGAGTTGTGCTTCCAACTCGCCAAATCCACTCGTGACATCTTCATTCAGATGATCACATACCATTCCATTGCTTCCAATACATAGATCTGGACTCCTAGGGCCAGATTCACACGTAAAGTTTCCGACTTTACGTGCATGCAAGGCTCAACAAGCTCTAATCAAGCTAAAATGAAGGGTTAAGGCAAGGGCACTCTCAATCAATCCCCAAAGCTATCACTTCCCAGATTCATGAGTCAAGACCAGTCTATATCTGCAGTAGCAACCACAGATCTGAGCCCAATACTCGAAAAGAGACTCATGTAATACAATTTGGCCCTAAAACTTCATCCATGAACAATCTAAGCACAACAAGGTCAAGGCAACAACTTTTTACCTTAAATCGGATGCCAACAAGCAAGGAAATCAGATCCACTTTGCTCCTCTATGATCCCACCAACTCTTGCTTCAAGTATCCTTCTTTTCCAAGCTCCAAAACACACTTATATCCTTCTCACTCTCAAATTAGGGTTTGAAATCGATGGTGAAAGCTTCTGGACGTCAAAGGGAGTGCTAAAGAGGCTAGAGTGGGTTATAATGTGCTTTATATATGGCACAACCCCCGGATTAGGGTTTTCTCCCTTCAGCACCAACTCGACGAGTCTACCCATCGACTCGTCGAGTCGACCTTCCTTATTTACACTAAGAACCCTGAACTTGCACTTCTGAACTCAGGGTGTTACATGAAGATTGATATCTTTCACATCCATATGTATTAACCTACAATCCTCAAGTAAAACTCTTTACTTTTAAACCCCCGATTTCTTTATTCATAGTTTTACATTAACCATTCATATTTCATATTCTTTTACATTATCTTATAGATATACATGATACCTTGAGGAAGTGGGACTTGTGACATTTGGCTTAGGTAAATTGTTGCTTCTTTTTTTAACTAACCGTCTAATATAAAACTAAAAGTACGTGGTTGTTCTGCCAATTTTCAATTAGTGTAATGTTGGTTTTCCTCCACTTGTAGGCTTTTTGGTGCTGGCATAATCCGGTTTTGTGTCCAGTGTTGGATGCTCATTTCAATCTATTTTTTGGTTATTTGAGTTTGGATCGGTGATGTTAATAACTGTTAAGCAATAAATACATTTTTGTTCCTTTGGTTGTTGTAATAGAAAGTATGATGTTGTAATATAGAAAATGTTGGAAGTAGGATGATACAATAGACAAATTACTAAATGTATCTCTCTCAATGCATTCTACTAAAAAATAAAAAAAATTATTTGAATGACATGACTATGATCAAATAGATTTGTCATATTAAAATGATATAATAGATACAAATTAAAGTATAATGCTATAAAATAAAATAAAATTGACTCATTGTTTTTACACTCATATTTTAAGTAATTATAGGTTATTTGACACTATCTAATGATCAATTATATAAAGAATTTATTATATAAACAACAATTATCCAGAACCTGTTCAGTGTTCACGTATTAAATTAGTTGGAATTTGGAAATCAGTCACAAGGAACGGCGAGCATAATAATAATGTACTTTTTTTTTTCTTTATCGTATTGAAATGGGAAAATGACTTATATGGGTAACTATGTTTCAAAATCGTTCAAAAAAATACCAATCAAATTTGGTGTGTCCAAAAAATACCATCCAAGTAAAGCATTTGAACAAAAAACACCAACGAAGTACATTCTTTGTTCAAATTTTACCTTTGGTAACCGACAATTACCAGTAAAAAATAAGTAAAGGAAAAAAACAATAGGAAATGACTCAAAGAGGTAACTATGTTTCAAAATCGTTTAAAAAACACCATCTAAGTTTGATATGTTCAAAAAACACCATCCAATAAACTTTTTGTACAAAAAACACCAACAAACTATATATATTTTTTTCAAATATTACCCACCGGTAACTGGTTCTTACAGGTTAAATGATAACTTGGCTTAACTATTATGACATGACATAATAATGATTGACAAAACAATAAATGATATATTCCTCCTTTAAAAACCGATTTAGGGTTTCTTCATGAACGAATAACTTTTTCTTCTCCTATGATTGTTCTTCTTCTTCTAAAGTGATGATCTCGAACTCAAGTCCAAAACCCTAACTCTTAACTTAAGGCAAAAAGCGCTCCTTTACCCCTGCCTTAATGGGCCTCCCTCCCCCTAAGGCCCAAATCCATTAAAAGCACAAAAAGGCATCCAAGCCCAACTAGAAAGCATTTAAGGCCTAATATGGCCCAAGAACCCTCAATATTGCCTTAAGCCCAAAAAATGACCTGCTACAATCAGGTGGGCCCGATGACTAACTTAAACAAGTTTGTGCGATCCCAACATATGATGGGACTATGTACAGACTTGTTTAAGTTAGGCATCGAGCCCACCTGATTGTAGCAGATCATTTTTTGGGCTTAAGGCCATGTTGGGGGTTCTTGGGCCATATTAGGCCTTAAATGCCTTGTAGTTTGGCTTGCATGCCCTTTTAGGCTTTTTATGGATTTGGGCCTTAAGGGGAGGGAGACCCATTGAGGCAGGGATAAAGGAGCCCTTTTTGCCTTAAGTTAAGAGTTAGGGTTTTGGACTTGAGTTCGAGATCATCACTTTAGAAGAAGAAGAGCAATCACAGGAGAAGAAGAAGTTATTTGTTCATGAAAAAACTCTAAATCGTTTTTTAAATGAAGAATATATCATTTATTGTTTTGTCAATCATTATTATGCCATGTCATAATAGTTAAGTCAAGTTATCATTTAACATGTAAGAACCAGTTACAAGTGGGTACTATTTGAACAAAACATATAGTTTGTTGGTATTTTTTGTACAAAAAATTTACTTGGATGATGTTTTTTTGAATGATTTTAAAACATAGTTACCTCTTTGAGTTATTTTCTATTATTTTTTTCCTTTACTTATTTATTACAAGTAATCGCCGTTTACCCGTTTACCGATATAAGTCATTTTCCCTAGAGGTGACAAAAATTGACACGACACGAAATAAACGGGTTTGGGTAAGATATTTCAACCCGTTTAAATAAACGGGTTGACACGACACGACACGAAAATTAAACGGGTAAGGTTAGGGTTGAGAATTTCAACTCGAATATGACTCGAAAATGACCCGTTTATTTATATGCAAATTTTTTGAATTATTTAAATAAATTATAAAGATGCAAAACCAAAACCATAAGTACAAGAAAACCTTGTAATTGAGTCGTTTTGTAATGTTGAAATGACTTAGCTTAGATGAAGACTTAATTTCAGTTTTTCCATTCTCTCCCAAAATATCCAGTCTCTTTCACCAATCTCACATCCTCGCGATCTTTTCATCCACCTCTCCAACTCTCACTTTTTTAATTTTGTTATCTGAACTTGCTATGACTTCATCTATTCTGCCTCCAAACTCTTAGTTTTTCCTCTCCGCCTACCTAACGCCTAATCTTTCAACATGCTTAATTTTTTAACCTCACATGACACAACATATTTCAAGGTATAGCCTTAACCCGAAACCCGACACGAAAATAAACGGATTGATATAACACGACACGTTAATTAAATGGATCAGATTAGGGTCAAACACTTCAACCCGTTTAGTGTTTCGACACGACATGAACCCGATCCGACACCGACACCGACACAAGACACACGACCGATTGCCACCTCTAATTTTCCTGAAATAATGAAGTTTCCATAGAAACAAACGGTTTGGTGTGGCGGAGGTCGTGCGTCTTATTTCTTCCCCGGCGGCGTAGGGTGGTCATAACCTAACCATGGCGTTATCAACACCGATTCTGATGTCTCAACCTCAATTCCAACCGTCGTTCTTCACAAAGAGCAACAACCAAGTTACTCCCTCACCCGTATCCATCGTAATCAGAAACAGAATACAGATGGTGGTTCCTCAAAGTCAAAGGTATATCATAACCGTCAAGGCCATGGCCGGTGGTGGACTATACTCTGCTCAGCAATTCGAACTCACTCCCCAAAACGTCGATACCGTTCTCGATGACGTGAGGCCATACCTCATTGCCGATGGCGGAAACGTGGACGTTGTATCCGTTGAAGATGGCATCGTTTCTCTTAAGCTACAAGGTTCGTTTTAGGGGTTTTTTTGTTTCTCATATTTCAATCGATTTTCTGGTTGACGAATTGCACTCATCTACTATTTCCATTGTTCAGGAATTTCTTATTTAACCCTAATAGATTAACACGTATGGTTGCTCAATGTTAGCCTCATTCATAAGACGACTCTTCATTGGAACACGAAATTGATGCAAATAAGTGTGCTTTAAAGTTGTTAAAATGCGTTAGTCTGATAAAATGACCCGATTCTGGTTATCCCCTTTGAAAGGCACATCCAAACACACCTTAAAAGTAAGCAATTGAAATATGATTTGAATCAGGGGCGTGTGGGAGCTGTCCAAGCTCAACAACAACCATGAAGATGGGGATCGAAAGAGTGCTGAAAGAAAAATTCGGAGAGGCTGTGAAGGATATCGTTCAAGTTTTTGATGAAGAAGCTGCTGCAACAAGCGTTGAGGCAAAGTTTTTGAATTGTAAAGAATAGTTTTATAGGAATGATAGATTGATTATATATTGAATGGTGTGCAAATTGCAATTGCAGGCAGTGAATGGGCATCTTGAAATACTGAGACCAGCCATAGCCAACTTTGGTGGAAGTGTGGAGGTGCTGTCAGTGTCTGTGGAAGGTGGGGAATGCGTTGTGAAGTATACTGGGCCTGATTCAATTGGATCAGGAATCAAAGCAGCAATCAAGGAGAAGTTTCCAGACATCCAGAATGTCTTCTTCACATAGACTCTATGTTGCTGTTATAGCCTCATGGGAGAAGCAGCTAAACTCTTGGTGTATCTTTAATCCAAAACTATATGGCTGCTTTTGTTGACCAGTGTATTTCTATTTCTCTTAGTTTGTTGCGTATGTAAATATGGACACACTCATATGCATATACATCATCATCATCATCATACTATAATAAGAAACTCGATGTTTAATTACCTACATATGAGATGATTAAATGAAATAATTACATCTATGTATTATTATTATTTAAAGACATGAGTTCAAGATAAATATATTTAGTTAGTGTAAGTTTAGAAACGAGAATCTATCATTTATATGGAGATATTCTAGGAGCCATTGATTGGGTCTGTGTAGCAACACATGAAGAGGAAGAAGAGGAGAGGGAAAGCATGTGAACGATTTGTGAAGGTAAGGATTATACTTATAGTGGGCTGCAGAGAGATGGAATTTTGAATAATGTCTAAACCAATTAAGAAGATTCTTCTAACTTTTTCTATCATCCATTTTAATTCAACTTCAAGTTAATTTACCTACCGTAACTTCATTTGATTTTTTTTTTTTTTTTTTTTTTTTCTCTTTGAATCGGCTGGAAATAAAAGATTTAGTAGTTGTTTTTAAATTATAATTCACATTAAAATGTTGTCAATGGTTAAGAACTTCACTGTGTTATCTAATTTGGTGATCCTTTATCAGATTCATTAGCAGAGGAAAAAAATTGAAGTTTCAAAATAGCAACACATGAATGGGGCCCCCATTGATGTACATTGGTTTTGTACTTCCTAACTTTGTTTGCATTGTTTGTTATTCTATTAACGTGTCATTAGGACTGTAAACGAACCAAACGAACACGAACAAGGTCTTGTTCATATTCGTTCGTTTAAGTTAGCCGAACAACAAACGAACACGAACGTATAAACGAACGAGATTTTCTTGTTCATGTTCGTTCGTTTAATAAATTACTTTGTTCGTTCGTGTTCGTTCATTTATGTTCGTGAACATGCTAAATGAACATAAACGAACAAAGATAAAAAAAAACACAATTGAACATATATGAACATAAACGAACATATAATATAACAATATAATAAAAAATAATTGAATATAGATGAATATAAATAAACTTAAACGAACGAACATAAACGAACGTAAATGAACATCATAAACGAACGTTCACGAATATAAATGAACGAACGAGACCATTGTTCATGTTCGTTCATTTAACTAAACGAACAATAATTTTTGTTCATGTTCATTCATTTATTAAATAAACGAACATAAACGAACTTCTCGCCGAACAGTTCACGAACGGTTCGCCGAACGTTCAGTTCGTTTACAGCCCTATGTGTGATACCTGTATATATTTTAGTGAAATGGGTTCTGAAAAGAAATAAATTCATCCTTCTTGGTTAAATTCGACATTTATGGCATTAATATGATTTAAAGCACTCAAAGTTACTTTCATGTTTCTTGAAATGCAAGGTAATCCAAACGGAGGTAATTTCTACTCAGTTTACATATACTTCGAGTGTTTTTTTTTTTTTTTTAAATATCAATCGGCTCATCATCTTTTGGTTATTTGTTTATAGTTTCAGACTTCCAGTGGATTTCAATGGATTGCATTGAAGGTTCTCCTACCAAGGATCAAACACTAAGATCTCCACAGCGTCCATATATGTACAAAAAATCTCCTACCAGTTTCTTATTATCTATTTCTTCAACTTATGTGTGTTATCATTGATTCTAACAGATTGAATATGTTATGTTCATAGGCGTGAATACAATCGAGCTTTAAGGGGGGACAATAACCAGAATTGGTGGTGGTCGTCATAGGGATTGACACAGCTAAATTGGCAAAGAATCTGAGGAAATAGATAAAGTGTGTGTTTAATTATTGATGTTTTGTCAAGACATTGTTGCTAAACTAGAAATTATATTGTAACGACAGAATTGGCAAGGAATGTTATGATTAAATTGTATATTTGGTTTTATAGTTTTGATAAAACATATGATTTTTTTTACTAATGAAAAATGAAAATGGAGTTTACATTGTGTGTAGCGTGGTTAGGGTCTAATACTAAGGCAGATATGTAATCTCTCAACATCCCGCATGTTGCTCTTCTTTTCATTTTCTTCCACCGGAAAAAAGTTTAGAAATTTGACTTTTGAGACAGTTAAAGGGTCAAAGATTCATATGTCCACGAATTACAAATTTGGTATTTTTGACTACCGATGACAACTCCACACGATCCAACCCAACACACATCTACCAACCCCTCAAAATGTGTGGTTATATTTGTTCCTTTAAAAAACCATTTGATTTTTTTTTTACAAAACAACAAATAATTTTATATAAAAAAACCATTTTCCGTCTTCATCAATTTCCAACCTCCCGAAAGGAATTAAATCTTCAAAGATTGTAGTTGATTTTCCTTCTATGGTTGTTTTAATATTTCATTTGATTGCAAGATGATCATTGGTGGGAAATAAACTAGTTTATGATATTCACTTTAAAATGCTTTCGTTGCTAAATTTGTAGTTTTTTAAACTAACTTTTGAATAGACAAAATTGCAAAAAATGGTCCATGCGGTATATCAAAAATCAGGACTTGGGTCCAAAAAGTTTAGGAGTTGCATCATTGGTCCAAAATAAGTTTTTTTGTTACGAGTTTGATTCAATTTACTTTGAAAATACTTAAATTGATGAATTTACATTCTTTATTTTCTTTTTCATTTTTATTTTTAATACAATAGTTTAAAAAGACAAACAGAAAAAAAATAAATAAGCACCACTTCAACCAACATCCTTCGAGTCTCAATCTCTTTCTCTCTACTGATTTGCCGATTTCCAAAAACCACTGTTGCTATCGCTGGAGACCACTGTCGTTGTCGCCACCATCGTCATAAACCACCCTTAGGCGACGTTCAAACGTCTTTATCGGCGACGGTCTTCTCCGGAGTTCATATCAATAGCTCATCGACTCACCGAAAAAGAAACAGACAGATCGACATTCGGACCAACACCATTTGCGACGCTACAGATCTACATCGTCCTTTAGAGGGTTTCTTGCTCACCGGAAAAACGATTTCTCATATGTAGCAAATGATTTCTCGATTTCTAGCAAACATGACTCAGTTCGTCCCTCTTCTCAGTCCGTCCTTCGTCGGTAGCTCCCTTTCTCACATCTACGTTGCCAGAAACCTAGGATCGTCAGGGTACAAGATCGACGGGGTACGTCCCAGGAGCCTTGGCTACGGGGGTGGCTCCTGGGACCAAATCGATTCAGAATTCGACTTGTCGTGCAAGTGGTACGCCTAAAAGGTCTTCTGGGAACACGTCGGGAAAGTTATAGACCTTCGGGATGTCTTTGAGGTCCTTTGTTTCTTGTTTCTTATCTACCACGTGGGCTAAAAAGGCATGATATTCCTTTTAGAGATACTTTTGAGCTTTGACGCACGAGATGATTTGTAAATTAGTACTGGGTTTATCGCCGTAGATGAAAAGGGTTTCGCCATTTGGCAGATTAAGTCGGACGACCCTTTCGTAACATAGAATGTCGGCACGATTAGGACTTAACTAATCCATATCAATGATGATGTCGAAACTTTTTATTGTGACCGATATTAGGTCGATTTTGTACGAATGGTTGTCTAGAGTGAGAGTACACCCTAAGTATATATCACTAGTGCATTCTGCTTTCCCGTTCGTCATTTCTACGACGTATGAATCTTTTAGTGCTTTCGGATTTTGTTTAAGTAAATGTTTGTATTGGTGGCTCACGAAACTCCTCTCTGCTCCACTATCGAAAAGTACACATGCATATGAGTTATTGAGGAGGAACGTACTGATAACCACCGTGGGATCTTGGACTGCTTCTCCGTGTCCTATAGCTAGGACTCTTCCTACACCTCCAGCATTGGCGTTTCACGCCTTTGGGCAGTCTCGTTTGAAGTGCCCCGTTTCCCTACAGTCGTAGCAAGCTCGACCCACTCAGGTGCTGGGGACTTGAGTAATGGGTTGGGTTGGTGCTCTACAATATCGTGTGGTATGTCCCTTCCTATTGCAGTTGCTACAATGCATTTCCCGACAAGCACCAGTATGGTGGAAGTTGAACTTGTTGCATTTGGGAAGGGTTCCAACATATTGCCTTGGTGGTGTTGGAGTGGCAGGAGTAGTGGCAACACGAACAACAATTGTCTACTGTTTCTTGGCAGAGTTTGGTCCCGACTGTTTGTTTTTGTTGCTCCAGAATTTTCTTTTATTGTTTCCCCCTATTGCTTGATCAGAGGCGACGATCACGGTACCACGGCTAGCCCTATGATCGATAAGTTGTTGTGCCAATTCCTTGACACTTTCAAAAGTAGTGGGCCTTGATGCCAACACACTATCCTGAACCTGGGATGATAATCCCCAGAGGTATCGTTCCACTTTTTTCCCTTCTGGAGTGACCATTACCGGACAGAGTGCTAGGTCATTAAATCGGGTAGTATATGTTTCAAGGTCAATGCCTTTCATTCTAAGATTCCAGAGTTCCTCTTCAAGTTTTTGCACCTCGCCCCTCGGGCAATATTCCTTTAGCATCAAAGCTTTCAAATCTTCCCAGTTTATGGAGTTAGCCACTGCGGGAGTAAGTGACTTAACTCGGCAATTCCACTAAGTAAGAGCTCTATCGGTGAAAGTGAATGTCGCATACTTGACTTTTCTCGTTTCGGGTCAAGTATAGATTTCGAGACTACTTCGGTCCTCTTGAACCATTGCATTAGAGTGACGATGCCCCCGCTTCCATTGAAAGCATCAGGTTTGCCATTCATGAAATCTTTGTAAGAACATTCCCTCACACGCCCCACACTTTCCCCGTGATTAGAGTGCGTAGCACCAGATCCAGAACCACCGATACCGTTCGTACCTATTTCCGAAATTGTAGCCGCCACTGCTTCTATCACGCCAGCTTGAAATATGGCAGGGTCGAATTGCGGAGGTGGTGGTGGAGATGGTG